ACACTCCCCCATCAATCTAAGTTACATAAAAGTGAGTAATAATTGCTGTTAAGGGGAGGGAATACCCAGTCCCACGACAACCAATGAAAGGAAAAAAAGCTAGAAAAGAATAAGATACCCCTTATATATCTATATATGTAAATATAATACATTCTACACTCCTCCTTCAATATAGGTTACATAAATGTTGAGTAATACTAGATTAGATACAAGATTATTAAATTTTTGGTAGTGCTATGTTTGCTGTTTGTTGACTGGTTGGGATGTATAATAGTGATACATCCTGTCTTTCAATTTTCTCTCTGATGAAGTGTCGGTCAATCTCGACATGTTTAGTTTTGTCATGGTGCATAGGATTTTTGGCCATGTTAATAGTCGAATGATTGTCACACCAAATTCTCATAGTAGTGGGAGCAGAAAATCTTAGTTATAGTAATATCTTTTTCAGCCACACTCATTCACTCAAGTGAACGTAACTCTGATTCAGCACTGCTTCCAACAGATTATTTCTTGCTACGCCAAGTGACTAAATTACCCCATACATATGAGCAATAACCGGATGTGGATCTCCTATCAGATCCTGCCCAATCTACATTAGTAAAGATTTCAATTCCTCTAGCCATAGTCTTCTGAAAAAATAATTCTTGTCCAGATGTCATCTTTAGATATCTCAAAATTTGATAAATAACGCTTTTATGCTCCTCAGTAGGTTGAGACATGAACTGACTCATAGTGCTTACTACAAAGTAGATGTCAGGTCTTGTGTGAGCCAAGTAGATAAGCTTGCCTACAAGTCTCTGATACATTTCTTTATCAACAGGTTTACTATCATTTTTGAAACTAAGTTTAGCATTTGACTCCATAGGAGTTTCTGCGGATTTACAACCAAGCATAATAGTCTCGTTCAGAAGGTTTAAGACATATTTCCGCTGAGATATAGAAATTCCTTTCTTGGATCGACCTGTTTCCATTTCAAGAAAATACTTGAGTATCCCAAGGTCTTTGATTTCAAACTCTTTGATTAGGAAGTCTTTTAGTTTCTGAATCTCTTCATTATGATCACCTGTCAGGATAATATTATCAACAAATACAATCAATATAGCTCTCTTTCCTATGATACAGTGCTTAACAAATAATGTGTGATCGGACTGACACTGTTCATATCCTATATGCTTCACTGCCCTGGTGAATCTGTCAAATCATGGCCTCAGTGACTGTTTGAGTCCATAAAGTACCTTCTTTAGTTTACATACCTTTTGTAGGTTCATTTCAAGTCCAAGTGGGACTTTCATATACACTTCTTCTTTTAGATCTCCATTGGAAAAAATATTTTTCACATCTAGTTGATAAAGAGGCCAGTCAAGATTAGAGACTAATGAGAATAATACCCGGATAATATTATGTTTGGCAACTGGAGCAAATGTCTATTGATAATCAATTCCATATGACTGAGTGAAACCTTTAGCAACAAGTCGTGCTTTGTACCGATTCACACTATCATCAGGATTGTATTTAGTGGTGAAAATCCACTTGCATCTTACTGGAATTTTTCCTGAAAGCAGATCAGCTAACTCCCATGTCTCATTCTTTTCAAATGTTGTAATTTCTTCTTGGATAGCAGCATTCCACTCAGGAATTTTGAGAGCTTCATGAATCGTTCTTGGTTCTGAGGAACTACTGTCAAACTTACTCATAAGAGTATGATATTTTGAAAACAGTTTGTCATATGAAACATAATCCTGTATGGGATGCATTGTGCAAGAACGAACATCTTTTCGTAAAGTAATAGGCAATTCAATATCAATAGTTGAGTAAGAGATTTCATTACCTGTGGTATTCTGGGTGCTTGGTACAGAAGTTGATTCATGACAGTGCATAGTTGGCTCAGATACTTTACCACCACCTTGAGTCTTGTTCCTCCTGATATAGACGCGTAACTTACTCACTGTAGGTAATGTGCTATCAGTTTCTGTGACAAGTTTAGACTCTTTGGTAGTTTTAGGGACAGGTTCTTTTTCTGATGTAGGTTTTTTTTTTTGTTGATATTGTCAATGGAATATGTAGTGGAGGGATGTTCACATCCCACAATTGATATTTCTAAGTAAAATTTTCCCTTTGAATCTCAAGAGTGGGATAAAATAGTTGGTTTTCAAATAATGTGACATCCATAGTGTTAAAGAATTGAGGGGTAGCTGGACAAAAGTATTTGTAACTTTTTTTATTAGAGGAATAGATAACAAAAATATATTTAAAGGGCTTTTGGGTCTAGTTTTTCCCTGAGATGGGTATGAATGTGTACATAAGCAGAGCACCCAAAGACTTTAAATGGGATTGTGTGTAAGATGTGAGAGTTTGGGAAGGCTTAAATAAAGGAATCATAGGATGTTCTGAATTTAACAATATAAGAGGGCATCCTATTGATCAGGTAGGTAGCAGTGAGAATAGCCTTTCTCCAAAGAAATTTGGAAACATTTGTGGTAAATATAAGTGATTGAGACACTTCAATGATATGTTTATTTTTTCTTTCAACTACACTATTTTGTTGTGGGGTGTGCACACAAGAACTTTTATGTACAATGCTTTGATCAGTGAGGTATTTTCCCAGGTTGGACTCAAAGTATTTACATGCATTGTCAGTTTTCAACACTTGTATTGTTGTCTGAAATTGAGTTTGAATT